CCCCCCCCCATGCCTCGCTCTCCCTCCTTCTGACAATGCGCATGCGCTGCCATCCATCTCGTAGACTTCGAACTCGTCGGCGACTCGAAACTCGACCAGGCCCAGGCCCACATCGCCCGCTGGCAGTCTCTTGCATCGGTTTCCGGACTGGTGGCCCTGCGGGAGGTGTTTGCCACCGACGACTTCGGCGACAGCTGTACGTACCCGCCCCGGGCACCCTCCAGCCCGGCAGGAACCCGCCCCCGGCTCTCCCCCTCCCTTTGCTGGTCTGACCTCCCCTCGACCCACTGCCTCTCTGTGGTCTCCCATCCATCGCTCTGCCGGCCCTCCTCTCCTACTCCCCCCCCCCACTCTCCCCGTACACACACACACACACACACACACACACATGCTCGCTCGGCTCGGCTCGGCCGCTGCAGCCCTCATTGTGGTGTTCGACTTCTGCCCCCTGGCGACCACCCTGCTGGACGCCTACAACCTGGTGCCGATGTCCGCGCGCCGGCACCCGTCGCAGCGCTTCGCCGCCGGGGACATCGACGCGGAATTGGAACACTGCGACGTGTATGCCGTGCCGGAGTCCACGGTGTGGGCCTTTGCCGTGCAGCTGGCCGGGGTCCTGCGGTCGGTGCATGCGGCCGGCCTGGCCCTCGGGCCGGCGGCCCTCAATGTCCGCAAGGTCATGGTCGTCGGGCAAAACCGCCTCCGCGTGGGCTTCGCCGGCATCAGGGACATGCTGCGGCCGCTGCTGGACGATGCCCCAACCCCGGGGGGGGCCGGCCACACCTCGGCCGGGGACTTCCAATCGCTGGCCGTGCTCCTGGCGTCCCTCTGCTCGGGGCTCGAGCTGACCGATCCCAACTGCCCGGTCAATGGCCAGGATGCCGGATCGCAGTTCGACTTCGCCATCCACTTCCTCCGGTCCTTCGAGCACTTCAGCGCCGAGCTGCTGGACTTCATCGGCTGGCTGTATGCTCGCGGCCCGGTGGCCGATCGGGGCGCCGCGTCGCCCAGCCCGGCGCCCCCGCGCCTGGCGGCCGATGTCCTGCTGGCCCGGCTGGCCCCGCACCTGGCCTCGGTGCTGGACTCGGCCCTGGCATACACCGACGCCCTGGAGGACTCCCTGGCCCGGGAGTTGGAAAATGGCCGGCTCATGCGGCTGCTGTGCAAGCTGTGCTTCGTGGCGCCGCCCGCCTCGTGCCCCTGTGTGGCGGTGGCCCTGCCGACCACGCGCAGCATGGTCCCCTTCCGCCCGGGCCCGGCGGCTCCCCCGGCCCCGGCCGACCATCCCCTGCGTGATGCCATGGCCGCCCAGCAGCAGGCCCAGGCGGCCGCCACCGCGGCCGCAGCCGCCGCCGCCGCCGCCGCCACCGCCACCAGCTCCCCGGTGCTGGCCTTGAACTCGGGTCCGGCCTCGGCGGCCTCCTCGGTGCCGGCCTCGCCGGTGCTGGGCACCATCTCCAGCCACCTGCCGGCCGGTGCGTCGGACCACCCGGCTGACGCCCTTGCCGGCATGGTCGTCCACCCGGCCGAAGCAGCGCCGCCCCTCACCGAGGGAGGCGATGTGGCTGGCGCCGCCGCCGCCGGCACCGCCACCGCCGGCACCGCCACCGCTGCGGCTGCAACCCCGGCGCCGGTCCACCCCCCGGCGACTCCCCTGCCACCGGTGGCCCAGCTGGGGTCCAACTTGCTGATTCGCATGTTCCAGGATCTGCTCTTCCGCCAGGCCCCGGTGGGCCTGGAGCTGGCGCGCCCCAGCGAGGCATTCCCCCGGGGGGCTTTCGCTCGGGAGGGCGTCCCCGCTGGCGATGGCGCGTCTGGCTCCAGGGCGGCCCCGGCTGCCGGTCTGACCGGCGCCTCGCTCCTGCCCTCGCTCGGCGGGGACACCCCCTCGCTGAACCTTTCACATATCATCCACCACCTGAACCGCCTGGACGTCGGGCACCCGGAGCGCCTGGTCCTGGCATCGCCGGATGTCGTGGCCACCGGCGGCCCGGTCCGGCCCGCCTCGCTGGCCGGCCCGCCCTCCGACACGCTGCTCTACCCGTCGTATGCCGAGCTGAAGGCCGCCATCCAGGCGGCCTATGTGGACCTGCTGCTTCTGCGATCGGCCGCCGCCACGGCCGACTACGAGCAGATGGCCTCGGGCGGCGGCCCGGGTGGTGTGGCGTCCTGATGCTGCGCTCCCACCCCCGCCCCCAGTGCCCGGTCTGGATCTCGTGCATGTACGTGTGTGTGTGTGTGTGTGTGTGTG